GACATTTGCGGTCTTTTTTTTTTTTTTTTACTATTTATTTTGTTAGCAAACCATTATTACAACAGCAAAACAGTACACTGATTTTCTTTCTTGCAAGGGAAACTCTCTGCATAAAGAAAACCATACAAAAGAATATATTCAAATAGGAGCTGAATATGCAATTACAGTTTTTCCTTTTCTGTGCAGTTTTATCTAACACACTTCATTTTCTCAATTAAAAAAAAAAAAGCTTTTTTTTGAACTGGTAGGAGCTTCTGACATGATGCAAACCAAGCATTTAATCAGAGGTGTTTAGAAGATTTGTGTGAAGGCCTTCGTGTAAGATAAAAAATATTTTAAGTGCAATAAGAGAGAAACTAGAAAAATACCATCTTTTTGGTGTTCTGATTGCCCTTCTATTTTTAGAAGAAATGTTCTTGCGTTTAGGAGGACAGCTACATCTAAAGAAAAAAAAAAATCCCATTTCAAAGCTCTCGGTTGTTTCACGATCGCTACATTTAACAAGTTCAGAGCCCTGTTGGTTAGCAGTAAATTCAGCTGCGACACAAACAGTTTTACTGTAATCAGGTCAATGTTTTTAATCAGTTCAGCTCTTTAAAAGGGGCACTGTCTCTTGCAGCACAAATTCTAACCTTACATCTGATTGGATGGGAAAAATGAAGTCTACAAAGCAAGAACGTGGTCGTTAACTTTAAAAGTACCAGTGTGCTGAGGAGGAGGGGAAAAAACGGTTAAAAAAAAGTCAGGCTTTATGGAGGGGAAGGTGTGCAAACCGCAGAAATAAACCAGCTTTGAAAAGGGGTTCTTATTTTACTCTTGGCCCGAACTCATGCCTTCTTCCCACCTCTAACACCAGGCACCTTTTAAGCTACCAGTCACAGATAAAACAAAGCTCCGCCAGTTCCACCACTTGATCATTAACATATGCAAAACAGATCCGGAATACCTATATAATATATATAAAAACATATTATATATGTATCAAAATGCAAACGCTGAAAGGTGCAGTTTAGCTCAGAGCCCTGCTGCATGCACTATAAGGTAACTAGCTGCTGTCAATCATAAAAAAAAAACCACAATAAAATTTGAGCCGAGAGGAAGTAAATCAAAACTTTCTTTCAAGCAATGGAATAAAAAGGGTCCTTCAAAGGCAAAATACATCGTGTCATGTACTATCAGCGTTCTGCGGTTGTGGCACAGCTATAGATTCTCAAACCCTTTTAAAGAGCGGATGACTCATTTATTTGCTGCAAATAGTTGTGGCGAGAGAAGACATACCACATTACCAGCTGATCCTATTTCCCCAGCCCTCCCCGTAGCTTCCGCCAGCAAACCCTCCCAGGAGCTGGAGGCAAGGGGAGATCGCGGGCCGGGAGCACCCAGGCCGGGCCCTCCGGGGGGCTGGAGGGGGACCTGGCGGGGACCGGGGGATGAGAAGCCCGTCGGGAGGCCGCAGCCAGCGCCGGAGGATGGGAAGGTGGGGACGAGGTCCGCCAGTCGACGCCGCGAACGGCAGTGAACCAGCTCTCACGGTTCCTGAAGGACTCACGGGGAAGGTGCTTCAGTAAACAAATCGGGTTCCCGTTAAATTGCCTCCAGAGTGGAAAGTACAAAGCGCGACAAAAATAGATGCACCTTACTCGCTCCGTGGGGAAAACGGGCTGCCAGGACACGAGCCCTCTCCTTCTCCCCTGCCCCTGCCTCCTCCAGCCCCAGACCCTGCCTGCGACCAGGCAGGGCGCAGCGAGTTTTCGTTCAGAAGCCTGAATTCCCTTTTCTTTTGTTTTTTTGGGTTGGTTTTTTCTTTCCTCGGTAAGGAAAAGCAAAATATTAGAGTCAAGTGTCACTTACTCATTAGGTTTTCAAAGCCCAACAGAGAATTTAACACCTTCAGAGATGGCACTGAAGTGAAAACAACAGCGGAGGTTGATTTTTTTCCCCCTGCTGGTCTTTTGGGAGAGGAAATGAAGGTGAATAGTTACTGTTCCAATGTAAAGTGATTCCATTTAAATAAAGTACAGTACTGAAATTGTAAATGCAGTGTGACAACCAGATCAAAGATGTTTAATATTTGCATAAAAATATATATATATAATATATATATATAAAATATAATTTTAAGCAATCGTGCAACACTCTTAAAAAGGGTTCATTTCACATTTGCTAAATTCTAGTGGTCCTGGAATGCATAACGCATTCTATTAAAAATACTCTTTTAAATATTAACAATTAGTGTTCAAATCACCAACTAATACAATATTCTTTAGCTGTCAGGGGGTTTAAATAAACCTATCTTTGATCCACGTTCCACTGAATTACACATCATGGAGGTATGCAGTCACAACATTAGTGGGTTAAATGTCAAAATGGCATTACAGTACAAAATAGTTAAAAAAAATCAGCTAGTCATATGTTTCTCCATCTGTGGAATTATTATGGCTCACAAGCAACCCACTGAATTACTGTAATCCTTGTTCTTGCAACCAAAGACATTATCTGAATCCCACCTTAATCCTGACTGGTTCATTTACTCCAAATTTCTCAGGTGTGGGTTAAAAATTCACTGCAAGGTGCCCACTGTCCTATGACATCCTGTTGCAAACTGGAAAACACATAGTACTTTATTTAAACATTCCTTAATTGCTACATTTTCCTAGACCACATTAATATATATTGTGTGTGTGTATATATAGATATACACCTATAACATGTACATATATACACACACAAACATATATACACACATACACACACGTACCTAGGATAATAGCACACCGACATAACATTTACTCTATACAAGTATTTGCCAAGAAAAAAAATAGGGCATTTCCTCCACCACTTATTCACAAGCTTATGGGTTTTTTTTGTTTTTAATCCTTGTGTCCCTGATAAAACAAAATGCATGGTTAAACCACAAAACTATATTTTTTTCTCACTTCAAATTTTATGAAGGCATCAGGCACTTTTGATTACTGTTGGTGTGTACAAATATAGCAACATCTTTCTTTTCTTTTTTTTATATATATATATATATACTCTACTGTATCTTCTTTGCTCGGATAACTTATTTGTGAAATCTTTGGTCCTTGAGTATATTCTGTTTGCCACAGCTGGTTCTCCTGCATTCTCACATTTTTAAAATGTGAGGCATGCACACAGCTGGAAATAATGGACTTTGTCATCGTACGTGTTTCTGGTTTTATAACTGTACCAATCCACTACTGTTCATTTGGAGCAAGCTGTTTCTGGTAAAGCGTTCTAGTCAAGCAAGCTATACATTCTACACGGTCAATCCATAGACGGCACTTGCTGCAAGCCCCAAATGCAGTAATTCCAATATACATTTTTATTCAGCTTATCTCTGCTTTATGCCTCTAACTTTTAATTCCTGAATATATATAGAAATGTTTTTTGAGATTTTTTTGTCTTTTTGTTGTTTTTTTTGTTTTGTTTCTTTCATATTCTCCCTTTTGCAGATCCCATTCTAGAGTAAGAATAAAAATAAAAGAAAATAAGGCTTTCCCACCTTCTCTATGCCAAAGCTATGGGAGCAGATATTGCCAACCCATATTGTCATCAAGCATTCCTCCCTCACTTATTTCAGGGGAAGCTGGTTGCTTTTAATGACAGGCCTCTTGTGCTCTGGGGTAGGATCCAATTATTTTGGGGTTCTTTCTCGATCATGCTCCCGTTACTTATTAGAAGAACCACAAGCTTTTCCCCAAGCTTGAAAACTAGAGCAGATCGTCATTGCACAAAACACCCCATTTCAAAGGGGCGCACCGCCCCTTCCTACGTCTTAGAAAACGTTCTCCCCACCGGGTCTACTAATTTCGGTCCTTAATTACAGGGCAGCCAAGTAGAGTATGTGTGCTGCTGGCAAGGGAACACCGTCTGAACCTGGGCAATATAGTAATTGCTGAAGTTGGCATCTGCTACGTATGGGGCTGGCTGGTAATAGCAGGTGACATTGGCCACATTGGGGATGATATTTTGCTCGGCTAGGACCCTGATGGCCAGCATGGTGATCAGATTCAGAGTCTGTCTCCTCTCATGTCCCATCAGGCACACTGTGCTCTCATTCACCACACCGTGAAGGGTCATGAGATAGTCATACTTGCGGTCCTCTAATCCCACAAAGTGGTTCTGCAAGTAGGACTCCAGCTTTCTCTGCTGTTCTCCAATGTCTGAGAAGTCAATGAAAAACCTCGAACACATGTATCTCTGCAGGGACTTAATCTCGGATTCGGAGGCAGCCCTAAAGCCCCTTACCAAAAGGTTGCAGTACTTCAGAAGACCACCTCCTCTGATCTCTTCGGGGTTTCTGGTGGCGATTATCTTATTGCAGAGGTGATCAAAGGCTTCCTGGAAATCCCCATAGACGCTCTCGCCAATGATCGTCGGGTGAAAAGTTTCAGTCATCGGATTCTCTGAGCACTCATAAAAAAGCAGCAGGGAGTCCAGCTTGATTTGAAAGGAATCGACACTGAATTCAAACTGCCGCCTCAGAGAGTCCACAAATTTCAGCTCCACATTTTTGCCACTGTTGTTGGACAAGGAGATGAGACTCCATCGGTCTGAATCATTGCATACTTTTACCATTTTCTGCACATAAGCCTCCTATAATTGGAAAGACAAAATGAGCAAATGAAGACACAGATGCAAGAAATTTCCCCTTCGCTGCATTCGTTCACATTCCCCCTCACCTCCACCCCATCCTAGCGTTTCATGAAAGATTTAATGGAGCCTGCATATACAAACCAGAGGAGAAATGCTTAATGTCTTGGAGTGCTGTCATTGCAAGGGGATGATAGGGGAGGCCGCTCTTCTGGGACTGTGTCGTGTTTTTTTTTGACACTGCTTCTTTCAATCACTTCTAAATACATCTACACACGAAGCCCACGGCACACATGCCAAATATCCATGCACCCCCACACAAAAGGTCACCGCTGTAATCAGATAGGAAATCTCTTTTATCGGTTTCCACTTCTCGCTTCCCTCCCCACAAAAAAAAATTAGCAGGTGTTCACTTCCCTCAGTCCTGCTCTTTCAGTGCAGGTTCCACAAATCTGCCCCATATTCCAGAAAATCCCTCTAAAAAGTCTTAAAGGCATTTGGCATTCAGCTTAATCAACTCAAGTGAACTGTCTCCGAGAGGAGGGAATATGCCTCTCCGCCGGGGCATTTAGCACACTAGAAAGCGTGCCTTGCAGACGGCGTTTCCTTCTTGCAGGTATTGAAGCCAGCTGAGCTCCCCCAGCCACCCCGGGAACCGGGTCCGGCAAACCAAGCTGCCGCAGAGCCGAGCTGGGGGATTTGCAGCGCCTTGCGCACACACGCCCCAGGTAAGTCAACGCTCCCAGCAAATCAAACGAGAGAGAGAGGAGGAAAGACTAATTAATGCTGAGGAGCCCCAGCCAAGACGCTTTACTGCCAACTCCTCCTCGGTTTTAAGTCTGGGGTGAAAAAAACAGTCACGGTCCCTGCGGGGCTCGGGGTCGGGGGGGGGGGAGCTGCGTCCCTCCGTGCACCCTTCCATCCCCGGAGGGGAAGGTGCCCCCCTCCCCGCAGGCAGGCGCTTACACCTGCCCGCTCCGGGCGCCTGGGCACAGGGCAGGTTTACCTTGAGCGTGAGCGGCGTGATCTTCTCCTTGTTCACCCCCTCGGGTAAGAAATCCAAGAGGCAGTCCAAGACCACGTCCTTCACAGTCTGAAACTCG